AAGTCATAACTTACAACTGACGTTAAATCGGGACGTGGCTACAACAGTTTGCTTTGACCGTCTCCTATGTAGTTTTACAAATGAAATTCTACTTGGCAAAGACGTTTTGCTCCAGAATTATAGAGACGACCCTTTGTTGTATTTCCAGATTTAGTATGAGTCTGTATCTTATTTCACCAAGACTTTCTATTGAATATTTTTGTTGTAAAATTCGATATAACTTTGTTATGTCTTTACCAGTCTTTACAGACTACTTTAGAATATTCTCGTACTTTTATATTTCATCCCACGTACATAGAATATTTTTTATGCTCCTAGACCCCTACATAAATATCGTAGCTGTACATTTTAATAAATTAGACGAAATGAATAAATTGTGCACGTATCTTCATTACGGCAGGGAAGAGCAACAAGATAAAAAGCGTAATCATTGTTGATACAATGGGCGGCGGTGGCGGGGTTAATGAGAATAGGCGTCATTCCGTATCCCGCATCCCACAACCCGGCTACGGCTGGGCCGAGGTGGGACGTAATAAAGTTTTACGCCGCGAGCCGTATTATGGCCCCGATTCAGCCGGCCCAACGGACAGAACGATTAACAATGCGTAAACTGATTTAGTTCGCTACCGTAGCCCTGTACTGTGGCTCCTGTTTCCTGAATTAAATTGGTAGGTTTGCTTGAATAATTACGCTATTTGTATTGTACCGAGGACACAGGTGAGGAGGGTTTCATGTTCTACGAACAGATGGCTTGGAGTGGTAGATAAACACGATACTATTCGCACTAATGGCATCCAACAACTTTGAGGCATTGGATTTGAATATATGCTTGTTATATTTGTTAGCTGAATTCATTATTGTATTTAATAACTTATAAGGATCGGTTGTCGGTAACAATATTTCAGTAAGAGGATCTTTGAATAGGTAACTAAAGATTACAGGCAGAAAAAGCGGGGAGTAGTAAAATATAGATGTAGTAAAAGAAGAGGGGTAGGCAAAGATGAGGGATAGTAAAAGGTTAAGGATGATAAAAGGCGAAGGATAGTAAAAAGTGAGTAAGAGTAATAGGTGATGGGTAGTAAAAGGTGAGGTGCAATAAAAGAAGGAAGGTAGCGAAGTAGGAAGCGTAGTATGGTGAGAGGCAGAAAAAGTATAAGGTACATCAGAATTAAAAAAAACAGCAGAGGAAATTAATTAAAAAGTTCAAGTTATACATGAAAAAGCAACAAAGGTAATATGCAGTCAGTGTTTCGTTCGTTGCAGGCCAACTGCCAAGGGCACGGCTGCCGGTTCATTAGGTGGTGCGGGCTAAAGAGTTGGCTCGGAGCGGCCGGCGGGCGGCGTCAGGAGGCGGCCGGCGTCAGCAACGGTCCCTCGTTACGCTAATGATAGCGATTTCACCCCAAAGGCGTAATTTTAGTTGCACGGAACAGTTTACTGTTAGACCTCACTAATGGCCTATAAAGCTTTGGTCTGTCTGCCGTTTATTCGGTTGGCCATTTTTCCAACGTACAATGTAATTAAGTGTTGGTTTAATTCTCCGTCGTCCAGTGCGAACGCTTTAATTTGTACCCGATTGTATTTTGTACTGCTACGAGTTTGTTCTTTTGCACTTCATCTTGAATTTAAACCCGTATCAAATTGAAAAGAATTTTATTTATTTTCTTAAAATAAAGAGTTAATTATGCTTTGTTTATAAACACTTGAATCAAATATTTGACTTAAATTAATCCAATGTAATCATTACATTTGTTCTATATGTGATAAATAAAATGTATTTAGTTGTGTTTGCTTGATTATAATGATAAAGGAGTTGTTAATTTACACAAATTATCAACTCCTTTATCGTTATAATATTGACATACGTTTGATTATCATTAAATAGCCAACATCCATTAATCTATCGGGTTGATTATTATCCATTTGATTTAATCTAATTTAATACAAAGCAAATATCTTAACTGGCATATATTTATTAACTTACTGTAGGTTCTAAATTTAAATTTAAATCACCCGAGAATATTTATTAAATAAAACTAATTAATTAAACTACCAAAATAATACTATAAACTATATACTAAAAATAAACCAAACTAAAAATAAAAAAAATAAAAAAAATAAATAAATAAAAAAATAAATAAATAAATATCTTAACTAGTTTCCATTAATTGAGATTTGCTCTGGAGTCGCCCACATCTGTACACGAAGCATGTTTTCTGGATGAAGGATTCCTTTGTTAAAGCCGACTGCTAAGTTTGTTTGAATACCGACTATTGATTTAACCTCCTAGATTTAATTTGTTAAATGTAATATATCTGATCCATATACTGTTAGAGTTATAACATTTTACTAAACATGGTAAATGGTACATAATGTATAAAGAGATTCATGTTAATAACATTGTAATATCATCATTTAAATATTTATTTATATCGTCGCCCGCGACCGCGAAATTTGTATTAAAAAAACTTATTTAGTAGCCTATGTGTTCTTCCCGGCTATGTTCTACATCTTTAAAAATTTCAGCGAGATCCATGCAGTATTCTGGTGATACCTTTTAACAACCGTCCATTCGTCCATGAATACAAACATCCAAACATTCGCATTTATAATATTAGTATGTTTACAAAAAATATAGAAATTACGTGTATGTTACGATATGAAAGTAAACTGTAACTTTTTTAATCTGCCAAATACATTTAATACAGCCATCACTAGTATTTCCAATCTGGTTGTCTTGAGTTTGCCTCGGGCGATATTTATGTACAGAATTTGTTACTTTCGCTACATATATTTTTATATATTTGATTTGCTACTTTTATTATAATATTTTTTCTATAAAGTAATCTACTTATAACTTCATTCTGCGTAATGTACTATGCTGTTATAATATTGAAGATAAACATCATCATCATCATCAGCTCGCTATACGTCCCCACCGAGGGGCTCGGAGCCTACCCTAAGTTAAGGGTGTTTAGGCCATAGTCAACCACGCTGGCCAAGTGCGGGTTGGTTGTCTTCACACATATCTTTGAATTTCTTCTCAGACATGTACAGGTTGCATCACGATGTTTTCCTTCACCGTAAGAACGTCGGATAAATGTACATATGTAAATCGTAAATCGAACACATTGGCACATGGCGGGATTCGAACCCAGGACCTGCAGATTGCAAGTCAAGTGCTTGACCACTGAGCCACCGAGGCTCTATTGAAGATAAACAAATAAGGTAAAATAATAGTTTTCCGTAGAAAAATACTGATGTAATAGACTTAAAATATATGAAAATTTTTATAATTTGTTTTTGGCTAGAATTCACGATTACAATAATTGTTTTTAAAAGATGTATACTTAAAATCTCAGATATGATAATAATTAGTTACCAAAATCGAAATTCGAAACCTAGTGATTATGTAATATTCCTCTATATTCGGTTTGCCGCGAAAACCCAGCTATATCCTGACTATGATTTATCTTGCGGTCCGCGGTCTGAGGGTCACTTTAATAAATATATTCGGGAAAGGCGCTCCATAAAATGGATGGAAACGTTCAACAAATGCAATCATTTCTTATATATCGTATGTTCACGCTTACTTTAATAAGGATCTCTATGGTATGAAAGACCTTTATTAAGATACTTCGTATGTTACATAAAAAGTAATATTCATAAATCATAAAATATTTTTTTTCTATAGTTTTTACTTCCAAACAAATCTAGAATTTCTTTTTGTGTGTTTTTACCAACATGTTTTTGTGGACATTTTTATAAAAACAAAATGGTCTTTAGTCTTAACAATATTGCTTTATTTAGACCAAAAACGTCGATTTTTTATTTAATATTTTTATGTTAAAATCGAGTTATTTAATTACACATCATTGATATACACTATTAGTTCCTTAAAAATATACCCACCTTTAAGTGTTATGTCTTCTAAGAAAATATTAGATTAGCGATCTGGAGCACGTGATAAGTTTCATTTATATGACATTTGTGATAAATATATAGTGTTATCATACTCAAGAAACTTGGAGGACAAGAAAAGTTCAAATAACCCAAATTAAGGAGCGCAATAAAAGGACCCTTCGAAAGGCTTTCATGGGAGCAATTCATGTAAATGCTAGTAAAGATGGCTGAAGTATAAAGGGTTAAATAAGAAAGAAAGACAATTTTATATACATTTTGAATATACGGTAGGTATTTTTTGTTTCCTAATTATGTCGTATATCAAGGTCATTGTTTTATCGTGCCCCAGTGAAGATTAAATAAAGAAATCAATGCTACGAAAATACTAAATACGACGCAGTTAATGACTGTAGTTAGTTTATGAACAGTCCCGAAACTTTATTTGTGCAAGAGCAGCCGGTTGCAATGAAGTTCACTGGAAAATGAGTTTTAATTCTTTGCACGTTTTTCAAACTGCCAGCTTGTATAGAGTAATAATTTACTTTTTTCAATTTGTAGCCGTTATTCGCGTGCCCCTTTACTACGCTCTTTAGAATGCTCACTGAGTTTCAAGCTGCCTATTAACTGGTCAAAGTAAAGTAATATTAAAATAAATTATGTTTATTACTAAACAGTTTAACTTTTTTTTCTTTTCCTAAATCCAGGAATAGAAACCTTAAAGTTGAAAAGTAGTATTAGTATTAAAAAATCTTATTATGAATATAATCAAGAGTCAATAATTCACAGTAAGTACATATATTTGTATATGTCTTTAAAATGTTTATACATACAGAAAGAGGTGGAATGCCATCCTGAACTTTTAACTGAAACTATAATGATTTGAGAGCAGAAAGCATCGAGCTAGAAATGTATCGTACATTTACAAATACTTACGTTGTCAAAATAACATATTAGGGAGGACCTGGTATGACATACATAAATAGTGGCGGTGTGGAAGTCAGTTTACTATATAAAATTGAGGCTGCGAGGGATGCTGGGGGAGGAAGGGGGCGGCAGAGCGCCGGCGCCGCGGCACTCGCGCCCGCGACACGCGCCTCACCGCCAGACCGGTCGGCGCCGCGCCTAAGCTCGCTCGTGTACGCTCGCGCTCGCTCTCCCCACGATACCACAACCAAACACTATCACTCGTGAACAATATCTTCCCAACATCCCCTCACAACGTGTACTATCCCTATCATAAAGTCATCGAGAGTTTCATACATAAATTCGAACAACTTCCATTCGACCGAAAAATTTACCGAATGTATGTCACGGAAGGACGGTCACAACATTGACATTTATAGTGTTTTGTGATGGTGTAAAGTTACAATTTTAACTATGTGTCTATTGCATACAATTAATAACACAACAGTGATAATAACCAAAAACTATCATTTACATCAACTTAAGTGCTGGTTAAGTAATCCATCGTAAATTGAATTTGTGATTTCCGATATGGCTTCTTCGTGGAAGGAGTGTACGATTTTGATTTTTGTAATATCATGGCATATAACTAAATTTGCATCGTCGTGTCCTGGAATCTGTGGGTGCGATAATAATTTACTGCCATGCTCTAATTGTTCCTACAATATCAGTTTAAAAGACAATGAAAACATTGATCAGATGTTGATGTCCTGCAATCGAGATGCCGAAACCAAAGATAAGATGAGTAAGCTATTGAATAAGACGTATATGGAAGTAGCAGTTGAATATGAAAATGGTTGCAATTGTAGTGAATTCATTTTAAATCTGCCTTTACTGGAGACATATTCAATTTCATTACGCAATAACAACATTATTAAATTCCAAATAATGTTAAAGCATAAAACTCTACGAGATTTAGATCTATCGCTGAATAAAATACCGCTTATAACAAGAGGAGCTTTCAACAAATATTCAAATTTAAGAAAATTAATTCTTACTAATAATTGTATCTCAAATATCTTAAAAGATAGTTTTATAGGGTTAACCAAATTAGAATACTTAGATTTATCATATAATAATTTGACTACGTTGACAAATGTTTTTACGCCTCTTAAAAACTTGCAACATCTTAATTTGAGCCGAAATAATATCGAATTCATTCACGAAAATTACTTTAATAATTGGCTTTTACAACATTTGGACGTGTCCCATAACAATTTGAGAAAACTAGCACCGGGGGCGCTTCAGTTGTTACCGAATCTTGCTCGTCTATTATTAACGGACAATCCGGATTTAGGAGTTACTCAGGTGGATACCCAGTTGTTAGTTGGAACTGGTCGTAGACTACAACAGATTGATGCTTCGAGGATAGGTTTATATCAAGTACCTGAAGCCTTTACGCATTCGGTGCGATTTTTGTCACTCATCGGCAACAAAATAACAGCGATCCGGTGTGGTGACCTAGACAGCTACCCTCTACTGCAATCCTTAGATTTTGCAGAAAATCAAATTGCATCAGTAGAAGATGACTCATTAGGAAGACTGGAAATGTTATTATTTTTAAATATCAACAAAAATTTACTCACCGCCGTACCAAAGTCATTGCCCGATGAACTAAAATATTTATCACTCAGTAATAATTCAATCAAAAACATTTCCATACCTGATTTTAAGAATTTACCTAATTTACGCATGTTATTATTGCAATATAATGAAATTCAATTTATACAAGACCACGTATTTGACGATTTATTATCATTGGAAATGTTGGATCTATCTTATAATCCTATAAAAATGCTCTCACCAAGTACATTCGACGGGCCATTGTCTCTGCGAGACTTAAGACTTTGCTATTTAAATATTTCCGTGCCTCAAGAAGTTGGTTCATTTCCAATGTCTTCGCCTGAAAGCGTTCAAATGCTTCACTTACAATCCAGCCCGGGCTTGGCGAGACAGTTATTAGCCGATTCAGCGGCATTAGCAGCATTTTCACATTTGCAGTATTTAGATTTAAGAATGAATAATCTTACAGATGTAAGAAACGATTTGCTTTTCTATCTGGTACAACTAAAAACTTTGAGATTACACGGCAACAATATAAATTGTAGCAATGAACTTTGGTTGACCGACTGGATGAATTGGAATAAAAGTTTGTCTGATGGAGAGACATGTTATTTTTCAACTTCTGAACACAAAGCTGATATAACAAAGTACAACTGTACGTTCCAAGAAACTTTTACCATTAATGAAAGCTTACCTCCCGTTAGTTTATATAGCACTGAAATGATAAATAAATTGTTGAGGTACTACGGATATCTTAATAATAAAACAGATAAAATGTTTTCTAAACATGATGCTTATGTTTATGAGAATAAAAACAATAATACTAATAAACCTTCTGAGAAGAATACAAGCTTATCAACGAGTAATTATGAAAACTATGATGGTAAAAAGAATGATAAATTAAACGATCCCAGAAAACTTAATCAAACATTGGTCAATGAAAACTTTAATGGATCTTCGATTACTAAAAATAGTCAGTTGGTGAAAATTTTCGATAGCAATAAATATCAAAATGATCAACTCAAAATAGATAGAAGATTTTTGGATATCGACGTGGCAGTATCTACTCCGAGTAGAACATCTAAGTCTGTCGACTATAGTGATACGACAGATGTTAAACGAAAATCGTTTTCTGGAAAAAGATTGAACACGCCAAATTTATCTAAGATACCACCGGCTCCGTATATATTTACTACAACAAAACTGAATACTCAGATCGCATCAAATGAAGCGTATACGGCGAATCCTAACGACAAGTTAGAATATTCGCCTTATCAAGCAAGAGGTACAAACTACGCCCAATACATTGGTACGGCCGCAGTGACGGGCTTGATCGTGATGTCATTAATTCTTTGGCTAAGTTTTCGCCTAAGATTTAGAAGACGACGTTCTATGCCAGTGGACACGGATAATCAAATAGAGGTGTCAAATATATCCGGCGGAGTGCTCTGGTGACATTTGAGAGCAGCCGACTCAACACCATTTGAATATGATTCCCTTTTAACGTAGCACAAATGTAAGTAGTTTTCCTTATTTATATTTAAACTGAATTCGTGTATTGCATCTGTTTATGTAGAACTAATACTATTCAATATCTTGTCTATGTCTAAGTCTACTACGTCTTTGTCTTTATGTGTTTCTGATAGAATTTATTATGATAAATTTTTCTCACTTCACTGACTTTGTATATATTCTACTTATTCTACGATTTTTAATCACAAGTGGGAAATTCGATATTCATATTTATTCCATTATATAATATTTTTATTTACTAGTTTCTCATTGTCTAAAATGTGTTGTTCAAAAGTTTTGACTACTTTTAGAGATACAGGTATATGTAAGTAAACATGAATTTCATTCAATTATTTTATTCATCATTGTAAATGGAGGTATTTTTGGCCTTATCTAAAGTACGGTATTTTTTCCAATACTTTGATAAGTGAAATTAAATTCTCGTAGAATTTTTTTTAATTTATTTTGGTAGACGGAGGTGGGGATGAATATCTATTAGATAGAGTGGATATCGATCGTGAATAACTGTAGCAGCTTTGTTAAACTTATTACTGTAATTATTATAACCAATTTGTAACAATAGGCTAGCGCAACACAGGAACCTACCATTTTTGACAACAATTTGACGTTTTTTTGGCTAAATATAATTTAGATTTTCACAGATAATTCATCTTAGGAATGGTATCTAAGTATTCAACAGGCCTTCTAAAGGCTATTTTTTTTTGCTGTAAAATAATTACATAAAAATAATATAAGTTTTTGGGTTAAATATTTGTGTTTCTTTGTTTCAGGTAACTGTGGTCGGCTGCAAGAAGAGTAATAGTGTTTTGTGATATATTTGGACGTTAATATTTTTTTATGAAATAAGTACAAATAGAAAAATTACGAGTTACAACGCATTCGGGACTGTAAATGATTGGTGTATAAAGTGTAAATAATTAATTAGTTTATTAATCCATCAAAAATATAAAAAAAACTGATATTTATTTTTTATGTAAATTACTGATATAACGATCAGTGTCTTTATGTAATGTAAATATAGCAATAATAATTTAGAAAGGCATAAAATTGCTCTCAGAATACGTCACATTATAAAATTCCAAGAATTTTGGTACATAAACTAACTCCACTGTTCGAAAGTAAGCTAGTCGGATAACAATTGTTCTCTATTTTTGTAACGATGTAGCTATCATTTGCTATATTTTCACAGATTTTTCAAAATTATATATATTAGCAATTAGGGTACAGTCCTTGTTAGTTAATTATTTTATCATATAATTTTTTCTTTGCCTAAATAGATAAAAGTCCCGATATTCTTGGGAATGAATTAATGGTAATCGTTGTTCACAATATATTTTGTTATTCAAAAATTACTTAAAAACTTTTTGGTACTTTTGGTACCTAATTAATAAAATGTGACGTAAACTGATGTACTCGTATGTATATATATTAATACTCTTGCGCAATGTATTTGACTAAGCAGATCACGTCTTCCTTCTTAACCCTCTTAGTATAACTGAATAGGTAACATCTAATCATAATCATCGGTAGATATACAACAAAGTGCCAATATGTATTCTATGACAATACCATACTACCATTTCTTTTATCGGAATTTTTTAATAATGTTGTCAAATATTTTTTTAATATCGGTTGTAGATTTGTGAAATTAATATCATAAATATAATTTATCAACAAAATTAATATACATAAAGCTTCTCTATATTATAAATAGCTAAACACCAGTTTTTTTATTGTCTAGTTGAATGAAAATTTTAGATGTTTTAACGCGAATCCATTAACAAAACATTGATATAAAACTCGCTGTCTTTTCCTCTCTTTCTGTGAAACATTTTTCCCTCCGTACGAAGGCATAGTAAAAATGTTCAGTAACCTGTTTTTAATCATATAACTAAGGAATCAGTCTTATAGTTCAATAGAATCATTGTTATATATTAAATGTTTCACTAACAACGTAATTCACTACATTTCAGACATCACTGTGAAACTATGGTTGTAACTTGATATATTTATTATTGTAAAGAAGATTATGTGTAGTTATATATGTATATGTTTTTACGTAATTTGTAGTTTACGATGTACAAACAGGTAGCCGAAGGAAATAAATGAATAGAATGAAAATGTTTATTTCTTTCAAAAAAACCTTAAACAAAACTGTAAATAATCTTATATATAAAATTCTCGTGTCACAATTTTCGTTCCCATACTCCTCCGAAACGGCTTGACCGATTCTCATGAAATTTTGTGAGCATATTGAGTAGGTCTGATAATCGGCCAACATCTATTTTTAATCCCGCGCGGCCGGAGTCGCGGGCGACAGCTAGTCATATATAAATATTCTGGGTACATAAGTTTTCTTATATATAAATTTAAATAATATATACGGAGGTCTATTCATTAGGTGAAATGTTAGGTAATAAACAAAATTAAAATTTATGTACTTTTTGTTTACTGTGTGCAATAATTAATTCGCATTCTTTAAATACGTTATTATTTCAACGAAAAGAAAACTTCAGCATAACGAGTTATGCATATAAATTATTTGTTCAAGTAAATTGAATGTGTTCGGTGCAAACGAATGACTGTGGTTCATAATTTTCAGTGACGAACTATAGTTTTGAATTTCGCGGTTCTGCATACGCGCTTAAATACAGGTAAGCCGTCTCAATTTTTATTCTCCCGCACAAGCGGGTAGTTAGAAATCCCTCATCGCCGCGATCGGGCGCGGGGCATGCGGGGTTTGTGCGGGGAAGGCAGTAAGTCGGCATAGTTAGTCACTATCGGGAGTCGACGAAAGTTGCAAAGAAAGAGTCACACATCGGAAGTCTCGGTTTCATAGCATATAGGGTAGCTTATGTTTTCAATTCCACGTTCGGTTTGACAATGACGCGTCTATAGCGCGCTTACGGGAAGTGGTGATTCAGGAGGGCAGCATCGCTGGCCTATAGACAATTTGACTTGACTGATACCGACAGAGTGACCAGACAGGTGCAGGCTGGTGACGGTGGCATCGAGTTGGTAAGTACCGCAATATCTATTTACAATATTAAGCTATCCTCTGCAGCACGTTGAATCCGTCGTGTAAGGCATAGGATGTATTTATAATTTTATATTGATTGCCTCTCTCTCAGGCTATCGCCCATTCAATATGTATTCCATAACGTAAATTGATAAATTAAATAAGCATCTAGACGGGGGCTAATTGTTTTACGCTATTTGAACACGCCAACCCCTCGCGGAAACATGAGAACGTTAACAAGGTTATGTGGAATTGTATAGTGAAATGTAAACAGCCCTTCAGCCATTATGAGTCGCGGTACATAAGACAAACAGTCTCGGCGTCTACGTCTGCCCCAAATATTGACGGAAAGTATACCCGCCGGCGATACTCTTACACGATATCTTAGAATTTTAATTTCGATACAAAATATCGTTGAGTTTTGTCTTATTATCAACTCTAGTAGTTTTAAGTTATATATTCATACCAGATAATCTAAACATTCATATATACATGTTGAGCTATTTCTATAAATAAATTTAAGCTTATTTATCGTAGTAAAGGTGGCAAAAGACCAAATAGTCTATCGCTACAATAACCAAGCAAACGCCACTCAAGAAAAAATAAGTTAACTGCCTCAAATGGAGACAGAAAGGTTTTATAGAATCTGCACATTTAAGCTACTCATAGTAGAAGTAAGTTTTAATATAGGAGAGAGATCTTTATATCCCAGTGTGTTTTAAAAAAGTTGTTATAAGAACTAGGTTTAAGGAGTGTAAGAGGTGGTAATTATAGACAACACAGGTTACGATTTGTGATGTTAACATAAATAGCATGAAATATTTTAAAATATACATGTTTAGTTAGCATATGCTTATGTAGTGTTTAGAAGACTGAAAAAAGGTACAAAATCGATTTTTAATACATACAAAATCAAAATTATTTTATGACACATGGGTAACTACCTAATCTCTTTTATGCGAGCTCTAAGGTAAACATTTAACCGTTAATTATTTGATTAAGGAATCGATTAGGACCATCCAGCCCGCCTTGGCTTCCAAACTATTCTCTCTTAAGTGCAACGATGCATCCTAATTGCGTTCTCGTTTTAATGGAAATATTTAAAGTTTTTCCTTATTGATTTAATTCGATATTTAGATAGAAATGTGACTTTTAAAAAACGCCAGTTTTTATAAAATACAGATTTATAAAACCTTGATGTATTAAGAATATTAAACACCTATTTAGTTAAAGTAGCCAAAGTCTTTTAAGTAGTCAAAATAAGACAGTATTTTATAAATAGTATATTTGACATATTTTAGTTATTAATAATAAAAAAAATAATATATTAGATAGTAATTATTAGATAATATTTTACATTCAAACGTTGTTTATAAACAGGACTTTGATAACGTTGATTGAGCGTTCGCGTAATAGATCATAATTGCAAGAGACAAAGGTCGTTAATCCTGGTAGGCTTTAATTTATCAACCCCTATTTAATCCTGTCCCTTAATAACACCGTGTAATTAAAATTGTTTCTGGTAATGTTTATTAAGATAGTAGATAAATGCTTGGTACAATTCACTTAAGTAGCAAGCGCCCATTGGTCGAAATTCCAGTTTTTTTTTATATTATTATAATATTTGCTTAAAAATAGTCCTATGCACTTCTCGTTAACTTTCCGAGTTAAATTTCACGTCAAAAGGGACACAAAGTTCCTTCACGTATCAATGTCATGATATGGATTATTTGTTTTTAATTAAAATTAACAAATACGTTTATTTTTTAGAAAAGAAAAGAAACTGATCGATATTTAAATAAAAAATAATTCGTTTGCAGAAAAAATATGACAACCGTTAAGCTTTAAATTACCTCCTAGCTAGTGCTATGTTCATGTTTGTGGCATTTTCGCTTTCTAAGTATATAAAATTGTTAATATCATTTCTAGATCAAGCGAAATAAATTCTTGGAATAAAAAA